AAGCTTTATAATAGCGTTACTTAAGTTACGATATCGTTAGGATTAAGAGGGTTTCGGAACCTTAGGTATAATTAGTCATAAGGAGGAAGTAAAAGGTAGAAGGAGAGGGATACGCTCACCTTAAGTACGTTAAGGGTAATGTATACGTTAAAGGAGAGGGAGGTATTATGAACCGACTATATAGGAGGCTAAGGGGAAAGATAAGGAGGAAGGTCGACTAAGGAGAACGTATTAGACGCTAGTGTCTTAGTAAATATATTAGTATAACCTAATGGGGTAATAGAGTAATATACCTAGATAGGCTTAGAAACATATTGATATGTTTAATATGTCTAATAGAGTAATATATTAAATATATATCCCGAGTAGTATATAGCTATACTTAGCTATATAGTTCTCCTTATAGTTAATAATAGTTATATAGAATCGAGTTCCTCACGATCATCTACTATACGTATAGGTCTATATACTATATACTTAGTTTCTAGTCTCAGCTATAGCGTCCCTCCCTACTATATCACTAAGTAAACCACCGTGGGTTTGCCTGTGGACACCTCACGTGTCATATAGCAGCTCGTAATAATAGAATACTCTTTATTCACTATTAAAGGTACTAAGAAAGGTAACTAATCTATCGAGCCTCGAAATCCTTACTAGACTTCCTAAATCTTCGTACGCTCCTAATAGTGACTTTTATTAGGAGCTACTCGTTTTTTAGATCTTCTTCACCCTCTTCTTCTATAGTTATAGTCGTAGCTACTATACGTCCTACTTAAGGATGCATTACTAGAAGTAGGGAGTATTAGCGTATAAAGTATTCTCCTAATCTATATTGAAGATAGCGTCCTACTTCCTTTCGCTTATCTAATATTTCCTTAGATACTTATTAAGCGCGCTACGTACGTACGACGGCTATAGTAGTAGCGTCCAATAGCTCCTACTCTATTATGTCTTCCGCTAGAGTAACCTCAATTAGCGTTGACGAGCCCTTTATTATACGGGGCTTATCCTATCCCTTCTTACGTTAAAGGTTCTTTAGGTTAGTACTAACGGTATAAAGTAACGTATAGTACTCCTTATAGGAACTAGAGATAGGAGTTACTATAATCGTATTCTATAGCTCGTACGATAGATAGTTAGCTAGGAAGGTCTTCTTAATCTAGTTATCCTAGCTAAGACCGCCAGTGTCTAGTATTATACGGTTAAATTCGGCGAGGAACGTACTAAATGTCTTTATCCCTTACCGTATAAAGCTAAGTTTCCGAGATACTTACTTAGTGACTTTGTAGTCTTTATACGCCGCCTATAGTTACGTAAAAAGACCTTAAACTATTATCTAGTCTATTAAAGTGACTACGTCTACTTAGGCGCTAACTTATATAAGGGCTTCTCCTTATAGTCTACTATATATATACTAAAATTATATAATCTTAGTATCCTTATCCTTATTAATACTAAGCTTCACCTTTATCTACGTAAGCTATAGTCGAAATTCTATCCGCTTTCCGCTAAACTTAGGGAGTTTAGGGAGTTTCTAATATTTCTAATCTAATAATTCGCGTACGGTCATTAGTTCCCGTACGTTACTATTCTCCTATAATATTAACTTAGGAGTAGAGGTACTCCTACTATTCTACTAGTTCTAGAGTAGCTACTCTAGATCTTCTATTCGCTAATTCTATATCTAAATTATCTAATATAACTACGCTACTTACTCCGGGGGTAGAGTTAGACCTAATATAGATAATAAATCTATTTCTATTATTAATGCGTATAGAGGAGGTATAAGAAATAAGAGATTTATCCTAATATAAGGGTTTAGAAAGAGTTCTATAACTAGTTAGCTAACCTAGTAATAAGGAGGATAAATCTAAGGAGAGAGAAGGAAGGAATAACTATCCTTCCTTTCTCCTTATATCCTCTAACGTACCGTAAGGAGGTAACTATTATCCTCACCTCCTTACTCCTTTCCTTACGTACTTATTCTAGCTCCTTACCTTCCCTTACGTACTTATTCTAACTCCTTACCTTCCCTTACGTACGATGTCTTAGCTATTAGGACTTTATATCTCTTATACTATATACGTCTTAACTAATCAGGAGGTAGTATTTCGCCTATATATTATATAGGTAAATCTTGACTAATTAGGAGGTAGTATTTCCTAGCGTTGGTCTTAGCGCTAGTTCGCCAGAACTGAGCCTTCTCCTGGGTTCAACCCATCACACGGTACTCTAAGAAGTTATCGCTATCTTAGCCACTAGCTAGAGACTGTAGCGACTCTAACTCGCTTGAATACCCATCATTATTTAATGATTATATGGATCGTAGTCGCTTAATACCGTTATTACTGTGAGGGTTTAGAAAGAGTTCTGTAACTAGCTAGCTAACCTAGTAATAAGGAGGACAAATCTGAGGAGAGAGAAGGAAGGAACGGCTATCCTTCCCTTCTCCTTATATCCTCTAACGCGCCGTAAGGAGGTAACTAGTGTCCTTACCTCCTTGCTTCTTCCTTACGTATTTGTTCCAGCTCCTTACCTTCCCTTACGTACGGTGTCTCAGCTATCAGGATTTTGTATCCCTTACACTGCGTACATCTTGACCAATCAGGAGGCAGCATTTCGCCTGTACATTGTACAGGCGAACACACCCAATCAGAAGGTATGGTTTCCTAGCGTTGGTCTTGGCGCTAGTTCGCCAGAACCGAGCCTTCTCCTGGGTTTAACCCATCACATCTAACGCTTTTCGATCATTAAGTAGTTCGATACTATCGTAGCGTACTAATAATAGGCGAATTAGTGCTCGAATATAGTCTCTTATGCCTTATTAACCTAATCGGCGCCGGGGAATTTAATCGTCTTATATCTAGTAGTATAGCGAGGAATACACTAATAGAAAAAAGAGGAAAGTTCTAGGTCGTAGATCTATAATTTATATAACGCTATTATCTTAACTACTAAATATAGTGCCTTATCGAACGTTAATCGCCACTTAAGATAGGACTACGGAATCTTAGTAAATACGCGTAATTAGATAACTAGGATAACGACGAGACTAGCGTTACTAGTTAAGATCTAGCTACTCCGTAACTAGTTACGACGCTAGTTACGTAATAGACGCCGTTAATCTTTAAGCTATTAGTAACTAGGTATAATATCGATTAGTTTAGGAACTTACTTATCTAGTGGATTATATAGTAATAGATCCCTTATTCCGCTATAGAACGCGTAGAGTTTCGAGCGTTATTAATATATCTTCAACTAGTACTTAAAAGGTACCTAATTAAGTTATATATAACTGTGGAATATCGCCGTTTAGACGTATAGCCTAACTAGGCCGAGCGTCTTATCACGTGATATAAGTGGCGTTACTAGTGGTGTGATTTATTACTAATAGCGCTTAGAAATCCACCTACTAGGTGTTTCTAGTGCTATCTAGTAGTGTTTCCTTTATCTATATAAGAGCGTTCTCTCCTCTCAGATAGTTAACTTAACTAAGCTTCCTAACAGTCACGTACATTACCTAATGGTACGATCCTATGAGCCAATCTACCTATTATACTCTATGTCCTCCGAACAATAAAGATCTTAGGTTATTCTAGGAGATAATACTAAGGCTTAAAGGTACTAGTACTAACGGCTCTTACGAAGTAATCTAGGAGACCTTACTAGTACTAGATATACTTAGTTATTACGTTAAGAACTTCATAACTATTAATTAATAGTGCTAGTCTAGTCTAACATAACGAACGTAAGGAGGGACATAATAGTATTTAACTAGTATTAACTATGAGGGTTTAGAAAGAGTTCTATAACTAGCTAGCTAACCTAGTAATAAGGAGGATAAATCTGAGGAGAGAGAAGGAAGGAATGGCTGTCCTTCCTTTCTCCTTATATCCTTTAATACGCCGTAAGGAGGTAAGTAGTATCCTTACCTCCTTACTCCTTCCTTACGTACTTATTCCAGCCCCTTACCTTCCCCTACGTATTTATTCTAACTCCTTACCTTCCCTTACGTACGGTGTCTTAGCTGTTAGGGTTCTGCATCCCTTACACCGTATACGCCTAGGCTAATCAGGAGGTAGCATTTCGCCTGTAAATTATATAGGCAAATCTTAACTAATCAGGAGGCAGCATTTCCTGGCGTTAGTCTTGGCGCTGGTTCGCCAGAACCGAGCCTTCTCCTGGGTTCAACCCATCACATTAACCCTCTAATCGTCTATTATGAAACGCCTAGGAAGTCCTATAAATCTATAATAATCTAATAGATAGGAACTATAAGATCTATATAGTAGGCGCTCTTCTTAATCCTTATCTTTTTCTTTTGTATTTTAAGCTATCCTAGACTAACGAGACTATAAATTAGATCAAACCTATAATTATAAAGAATTATCGAATCTAGAAGATTATCTATAGGTAAAATACGCCTAAGAACGTTCTATCTACTTAATAATAGTCTCTTAGTACATTTATTACGTAAATATAAGCCTTCGAGGCCTCTATGATCGAGGATGACTTCTATAGATATATTAATACTTAACTAACGCCTTTTATAGATTAGCGCGATAAAAACCTATTCTAATGGTAGTCTATCTACGACTTCCCTAGCCTTCGTTAGTAGGCTTTTAATACTCTATTAATATCTATAATGTCTATAGAACTTAAGAGGATCTTTAGTTAGTTAAAGAGAACGATAATAGCCGATCGTAATCGCCTTTTAGTAAGGTCTTTTAAGGCAGTACAGTACCTGAAATACTAGATTAGCTAAGGTCTATATTAGGTCGTAGATTCAAACTAGTTCCACTAATTATATCGCTTCGTTTGCGGATGACTAAGGGACTGCAGTTAGGACTGGTGACTGCAGTCCTTGTGGCTGGCAGGACTGCAGTCCTGGCATCGCTGCTTTACTCTTCTTCAGAAACCAGCGTCACTCCCGGGTATCACCCTGGACCCCCTAGCCTCGATCGGAGGTAATTCTGAAGATGAACAGAATCGGACAAGGTGCGTTAGTTGTGGAACTAGACTTTTGCAATCCAGATTTCAACAAAATGTCCTCTCCTAATGTACAATCATGACACAAGTTACCAACACCTCTATACTATACACCCATCCCGGTCTCAAGCTGCCTGTTGTTGAAATGGCTCTCGGCAAAGTGCCTCGTACTTGGCTGCTACCGCCGCAGTATCCCTCCAGGCAGCAGCGACCTTCTTGTTTCTCTCCTTGCACGCTTGTGGCCCGGCCGTCACGACTCTCATCTGTCCCTGAGTTCGTGCCCCTTTGACCAAGGCTGAAGTGCGAGGTTGCCTCTTTTCTGCATACGCCTCAAAGATTGCTGGCAGGTTCTCATTCAGTTCGTCGAGGACTCGTTGGTTGTCATCTTCGTCGGGAACCAACTCTGGCAATGCATGGCTGAGGTGATAGCAGTCTTCCCTGTCTAGATGTTAGCTATGGTTTCTGACCATGTGCCCAGTCTTCAAAAGCAAAAACTCCCTTACAATGCCTGGTTAGCCCCCTGTCCAAGGTGGGGGCTTGTCGGGTGCGCGGCGTCTCCTACACACACGCTGCGCTTCGTATGCCATTGATCGGGCCTCATCTCGTCTCGATCAAACAGCCCAAATTTGATCATTCGAGCGGCTGACTGGATCAGTGCCGCCGGAGACTGGTCGTGCCAAAGCTCGAGGTGAGCCAGCAATTTCTGCTTCCGCTCGTCCATCTCGTCTGCCGTGATCAGACCCCACGAGGCCTCGGAGCCGGTCTCTTCAGGTAGTGTCAATGCCCAGGATGTGACGTCGGGGGAGACTGGGTATGTGATCATGTGGACTCCTTCACCGTAGAAGTTCTGCATGTATGCTTTGCCTTTCATCGCCTGTGGTGTCGAAGAGAGCCCAGCGGTCTGTAAAGCGATCAGTCGGTGCAACATCCCAACCCCGGGCCGGAATGGCTCACCTGTGTAAGTCCGCTGAACAAGGGCAGTCCTTCACCAGTGCCCTTGTTCTTCAGTAGGATTCTCCTGGAGGCCGCCTTGATGCCATCGCAGCCGATGAGGAAGGTGCCTGTCACGCTTCGGCCACCCTTGAAATGTGCCGTGACGGCGTCCTCGTTCTCCTCAATGTCCTCCAATTCCCAGCCTTCGCGCAAGTCGATGCCCATGTCAATCAGCATGTCCTTCAGTTTCAGGTTCAACCCTGTGCGCTTGACTCCCATTGCATGCTGCCCGTATTTCTCCTTGAACGACTTGGGCTCTTCGGAGAAGCCGAGAACTTCACCATCGGATGAGCAGTCGAGAAATCCTTGCAGCGGTAGCGCTTCCTTCTCGATCTCTGCGGTGATGTCGACCAAGTTCAACACTTTCAATCTAGGTCCCAGTCAGTTCTGTACAAGAAGCATAAGGGCTTCCAGCTCCTCTGCCTTGGAGGACTAACCCGTTCGGCATCAACATCAGCGACGCCCCAACATCGCCCAACTGCTTCACTTTCTCAAATACAATCGGAGTGTATCCTTTTCTTTTCAGGAGGACTGCGAGGACCGGGCCAGCCACGCCACAGCCAATGATGAGAACGGTAACAGGCGCCATGTGTTGTTTCTTATTCTTTGATTCGATTCCTTGTAGTTTTTGATTTTGGTGGATTGTGTCTTTGCTTGCTGATAGAATCCATCCACATCAGCGGTGGCTATCACTCCATGCTTTATATCTTCCATTCGGCACACGCGTATCAATTGAAACACTCTGCTCCGGGCCAACCATCTCGTGGTCGCGAGACATGTCGAACTCCTCTTGGCACCAAAACGCCCACTATGTCATCGACCGCTAAAATTAAGCCCAAGGTTGTGCTTGCCAGAAGGATTACCCGGGCCCTTTGGCACTGGATCGTGACAGGATCTTTCGGCGCGAAAGCCCACTGGCCTTAGAGCTTAGTCACAGCAGGAAGGAAAACTCTAAGCGAACGACTCAGGCGCAGCCTTAGGGATCGCGCCCTCGCGCTTTGCGTGAAGCCGAGGCTTTCCTGCTCCAGGCCGAAGAACTGCTTATTTGGGGGCTGGCCACCGCCAACGTTTTCCCTTGCCCACTGAGGCTGCTGTGATATGTTACAATTGCAGTTGAAGTTACATGGCCGATGAGTGAGAGTGACTCATTGGGAGCCACTTGAGGACCAGAACATCCAGAAACTCTACAGGGACATATTTGGTCTCGCGCTCTCGGGCCTAGCCTTTGTGCCGAAGCACGCACACACAGCTGCCATCGCTACATGAGACCAAAGGACTCGGATCAAGTTCCATCATGTCCACCGCCAACAGCTGCGGGATCACGTTGCCCAATGGCTGCACCATAGTGCACGGGCAGGGAGCGAACATCAAACACCCCTTTAGCGATATCCCGGTGGAGATGCACGAGCTGGATGCAGGCGGCGCAAGGGCCTTTGCGGGCCAGTTTGGCTTCATCGAGTTCTCGACCGACTTCAGGCTGCCGCGACACGTGCACATCGCGCCCCCGTCTCTTCCTTCCTCTCCTTCTCCGCCGCAGAAGTTTGTCGCTGAGCGCATCGTCGTCCTGAACGGCGTCGCCCTCGTCGAGCTCAACGGCGACATCTACGTGATCCCGCCCCAGAGCCTCGTCACCATCGCCCCGGGCGTGCCACATACCTGGACGGCTTGTCCGGCCGGGGTGTCAGTTCCTGTCCCGCAGGGGACGACGGAAGTTGTGTCCCAGGGGACATTCCTCATGCTCTACGAATACGAGGAGCCCACCGCGTTCTTCCCCACCAGACAGACCCGCACGCTGAGTTCTGTGGACGAGTATGAACGATGCGACGATCTGGAGACGATCCGGATTCCGAGGTTGAGCGCGGATGAGGTCAGGCAGCGGTGTTGGTTCGTGTGGGATGCGACAGTGAGGAAACCCGGTTGAGACGGGTCGGTGTGTGCGCGGGTATTTTTCCTCTCTCAATAAAAGCATTTAATAACTGCGTCGTGCAGGGTGCTAGGCGGGCCGTGCCTGATACATACGAAGAAGATTCTCTACCAGATTGCAGAGTATCTTCGCTTGCAATAAGGATACGTCGCTTAGACACGGCGGTCCCTCAACCTTCCACCTCATGTTTCACACTGTCTCTGGAACATCGGTCACATTAGCATGACGATGCTCTCTGTTCTCTCTCAGATTATATCTTTCTGGCTATACAAGTGTTGCAGCGCCCGGTCCGGTGGTCCAAAGCTGCCCAGTCCAGCCAGCTCAAGCTTACATTCTCATTATGCCGTTTCCAGCGCTGTTTGTGATGGCCTCGACGATCCTCACTTCCGCTCAACTCATCTCCGATGCGAAGCCTGGGCGGCTGAAGAAAAGGCGATCGAGGCACGTCTCTCTTTCTCCGTCCAGGTCCATCGTCAAGAGATGCTTAGTGGCCCATTCCCACGAGGCCGTGCCTGGCGCAGTCGTGTCTCTGATTACCAGACAGCCCCAGGCGAGGACGTCCCCGTCGCACGCGTCCAGGTCGGGTTTCCGGGCCAACAGCGCAATTTGCATCTTGACGCTGTGTTCGGACGAGAAGTTGCTCCAGCGCCGCACCGTCCTTTCCAACCAGTTCACGTACGCCTGGATGGCCACCGCGAGCACCCGCTCGGTGGTGCTCAGCCCGGCCATCGCCAGGATATCGTGGCCGAGTTCCGTGATCGAGTCGTGGGGGCCGGGAGTCGAGCTGTTGTTCGCAAGCCACTCGCAAAAGATCTGGAGGAAGTTGATGCACTGCAGGCTGAGACAACCCCCAGAAGCGAGGCGCGCCAATCCCGGAGGCAACTTTGAGATTTTTGCCCGCAACGCCCGAGGGAATGGCTTGGAGGGATATTCCACCGCAGAGTCGGCGGGGAGCTTGAGGCCTTGTGCTTCGTCCTGGTTGCGCAGGGCTTGCTGGCGGTGCAGCACGGCGGCAGATTCAAACATCCTGCCCAGCACGCGGCGAGGTGCCATGTTAGTGAGCCGTAGAAAATCAGGCCCGCCTAGAGCGATGCTCGTGATATCTTACCCGACCGCCGAGATTTTCAGGAAGCCTCTCCACCCCAGCCGATCGAGCCCTCCACGCAGCGCGACGATGCGGCGGACGCCTTGAACATGTGCATTGAAAGCGGCGTGATCGTTCAACATACGCTGTGCCCATCATATTAGCCATGCCATAAATGAGCCTTCAGGCTGACCCGGGTCAGAAGAGGGCGCGGGGACCCGTACATAGACAACAGCCATCGGGAAGATGGTGGCGAGGACAATGTCCCCGGTGCTCGTCGCCGGATCTTGTAGCGCTTCCCGCAACTGAGCGACAGCATTGTTCAGGTGGTAGAGAGCCGCTCTCGAAAGGCGCGCGGTGCTCTCCAGGTGTAGCCTCTGCATGGTCAAGTTCAGGGCGATCATCGAACTGCAATACATGCCCGTTTGGAGCACATTGATCCTCATGCACTCGTGCTGGGTTCGGTTGTAGTTGCCCAAGCTCAGGGCCAGCGGGCACAAGACCTGGAAGTCTGTCCCATGAGCGTAGAATCAAAGGGGGCTGTCGCGGAGGAACTCACGGTAGTCAAAACCCAACATGGCGTCGCAGGTGTTTTCCACGGGGAGAGTCCAGAAAGGGTCATCCCGCAAGCCGCCGATGTGACGCACCAGAAGGGGCGTGGGGGAATGGGGTGCCTCGACGTAGCTTAACAGCCGAGCGTTGCGCTGGCGAGCTGCGTCTCGTATTGCCTCGCGCCGTTTCTCATGTTTGATATGAGCGTGGTGAGCGTTGATGGCGGCCAATTCGCTGCCGCGTTCGAAGTTTCTTATGTTTCGGTTGATGAATGTGACAGGCATAGCGGCTCTTTAGCAAACACCGAGACATTTTAGAAGATCAGGAAGTATCTGTTGGTAGACTGTGATGAAAGAGTAACGCTCCGTTCTCTCTGTGTTGCAACCCCCAACATCTGCCACGCCGCTTTAGGACAGTGGAAAATCAAAATCCCGCTCACCGCTCCCTTTGGGCCACTGGGCTCACCCCGCCCGTGCCGCTTTTATAGTCGACTCGCCCACAACTCACCCTCCCTCTCTCTCCCCCTTACCTGCCACTCACCGTCGATAAACTAGGTCCTATCTTTGAGTCCTCCTGAATCGAATCCTGGTGATTTGGTGTCTTCTCGCGCTGGCGAGCGTCGAGGAAGCCTCTTATTCCCTACATGCACAGAGCTACAAGGCTCCTAAGTCCCGGCGAGGCTGAAGCACCGCCAGCGCTCAAGTCCAAGTTCACTACTACAGTATCTCCACGATTGCAGTACTCAGTCCCAATGTGAGGTCCATCCGAAGAATCAACCGAATATCAAGAGCAGCAGTACAAATCCCGTCAGCCATTTTTTTGCTCCGCATTCACGAACTTTGCCTTGAATCGCGGCCACCACCATCGCCACCGCTTGTCCTCAATACCAGTTACAAGAGTAATATCATCGTCCAGAGGACCAGAAATTTGGTTCGGCAGAAAAGGACCATTGAGTTCCTGTACTGCAGCAACGAGCCCCGCGGCCTTTTTCTCACCCTGTTCTATCCAATCATTGTATGTCATGTGAAGCAGCTGGCTCCGATCCAGCTGAGCGTGCTCGTCAATCCATGTTCGCGCCGCAACCTCGGCGTACGGATCATCAACAACCACAAGATATGATTGCGGGTACAAGCCGCCGTGCATGGATCGTAGCCGTTTCACAAGGCCTTGCTCGCCGTCCGGCGTAGTCATCATTTGTCCCGTCTTCATATTTCATGTCATTTCCGTTCCCTCGGGTGTTCTGATGTCGCATAGTCGCGTGCACGACGACAAAATGACCAGGGGATTCTCTTTTTTGAGTTCCAGGCCAACGTCAATCATGGCACGATCTACGCAGCTCTGGAAAATGACCTCGCGATCGTTGAGAGGAGTGCCGTCCATTGGGTTTCTCGCCGTTCCATTCTGTACGTTGTAGCCTAGTCCAAGCCCTGTCAAGACGACTTCAAGTATGAAACAATATTCTTTTGCAATGTAGAACGACAAAAGTTGAGTTCTGAACACGTCGCAGATATTTTCGTAGCTCATGATCGCCATGTAAGGATATTGCTGTAGCGTATCGTAAAGCGAGTGTCCGCGTGGTTTTTTAAGCTTGGATTTCTCAGTCGCTGACTTCAGTTTCTCGTACGTTGAAAAATGGGAATTGTATCTCTTGAGAATCAAGCGTGGACTCGAGACGTCAGTTTGGCCATAAAAGTGAGCTAATGAGTCGGCAAAGTCCTTGCCTCTAAGGTCGAATTGAACAGAACCGTCTACATCGCCGCGGACAGCTTCACCGACCTCATGTCGCCAGATTAGATCAAGATCACGAAGAAATGGCACCTTCTGGGTTGTATTTAAATATGAATTCGCATAAGTACCCTTCCCCTTATCGAAATTCCTTATGACTAGTGTTGTCCGCCTAATTCCACTCAGTTTGTAGAAGGTCCACCTAAGTGTCTTCGAAGATACATGCCTTGGAGTCTTATCGTGAGCGAAGAAAATATTCTCGCTGACTGATGTGGATTCTGGACGTATGCTCAGATTTCCAACGAGCTCATGGAAGTGAAACCCTTCCCGTATGCCATTCTCCACGGCCAATAGCGAGTTCTCGGGGATTCCTCTAGCGCGATCGTGGAGTCCTCGATGGCAAAAGACGTAGCCGAATTCGTTTCGCTTAGGCTGTGATATCAGTTGATGGCGAGATCTCTCCCCATGAGGACCGATATGTCGACGGATTCCATGCCAGTCAGAGTATGTATGCGTTCGAAGCAATATCCACAAGTCGCCTTGGCAATATTTTTTCTTCTGTTCGTTCCAGATAAAGCCATCAGGTAGAGCATACTCTTTTCTCTCGTTCTTGAAAAGCTTTTTAACAGCGGTTGGAATGGAATCTTCGGAAGCCATGGTGATATGGCAGAGGAACCGTTCACAACGGTTGTTGGTACGAACAATCCGTGCAGAGTAAGGCTGCTGGCTGGCAGCTTGTGAAAACATTCGATAGATCAGATGGCAAAGCTATGGATGAATCCATCAAGTTTGGAAATGTCAAAGAGGCCAGTCAGGCTGAGAGACCGTCAGGCACGAATGGATGCCAAGGGCGTCAGCCACACGAAGCATTAGCGTCAGCCACAGCGGAAAGCCATCTCTTCACTGGTCGCAGGCTGACATGAAATGTATAAAGTCGTTGCCGGGAAATCCACCTGCGGTTTAGACGGTCCTACCGTTTCGGGCATGGTCGCCGGCTGGGCGCGTCGCCGCTTTTGGCGTCTATAAGAACCCTCGTCCCCTTCCCAAGTCTTTGGCCATCCACCTGTTTTTCTTCTCACCTCCATCGCCCTGATGCATCCGTCGTGCGTCACGCACTACTGCCTGTATCCTTCTCTACCGTATTAGGGCCCCCTCGATTCTCTACTAGCTGCTTTAAAATCGCAGTCTGCAGTTGTGAGGTGCGAACTGCAAAGCTGCGAATCAACTACAGCAATCCAGGATGGTTCGATGATTGCAACGTGTCACCAACGTGTCACCAGTACTTGTACTGGCAGAAACTGGGAACCCAGGGGGTCAAGTTGTGGGAGCCTTCAAAGACTCATGGCTGTGCTCACGCCACTCAGGGCGTGCCTTAGGGCTGGCTAAGCAAAGCTCAAGATTGCACTGTTTCGCCTACCCATGTGGACATAGTGGTGCCGTCACGTGCTTTGGCGCTGGCTACCTGCACTGGCGCGCACAACCTCTTGTTCGTTCTCTCTCATTGGTAGATTTCATACAAGAAATGCGCTATTAGTCTCTTCACTCGGCGCTCGCACTGTTCACTCTACATGCACAGCCACAGCTCAGGATGGCTCAGCCACGGCTCGGCTCAAATAGCTAGATACTCATGTCTGGAAACGGAAATGGACTTTGAAGTTCTTCCCTCGAGAAGTTTTCCCACTTTGAATGTGAATGTTGTCTGGGCGATTTGGGCCCTCGGCAGTTAGGTAGATGAACGTGGGAAGAAGAATATTGGTAAGGGAATAGTTATGGGTAGGAGGACCCTGCACCTTCTCACGTGAAAGGTTGTGCTGATGCATCTTCCTCGACCAACCTTCCTTTCCCTATTGAGCCAGTATCCGGGGCCCCGATGATGCCCCCGTAAAAGGGCTTCATGCAACTTGATACCGCAATACTCAGCGGCGAATCTTGATCTCTCCAGAAATTAGGCATCACTATTGGGTTACCCTCCAAGTATATGGCCCACGGTGATGTGTTCTTCCCGTTCATAACGCGTGAAATGAGGCTGGCCATCCCAGAATCCATTTTCGGGACCCTCGTACAGGGAGCCTGCAATTTCGTATTTCGGACAGTCTATCATCAACCCTGGTCGTCTCCTGGGGCGCCGCAAAGTCTAGAAGCCCCTGGAGGACAGGCCGAGGCCCACCCGAGCCTGGAGAATCAGCCTGTCCCAATTCGGCAGGGCCAAAACGTGGACGACAAGGGTAAGCTAGGACTGAGTACCCTTCACATCCAGGCCTGCCAGATTGCTCTGACCCACGCAAATCTATCTATTGATCAACCGGCCTGAAAGCTTGCCAGCTTGAACGGCTTTTGGAGCAATCTCGCTTCGCGGGATCAAGTCTCTTAGTTTCCAGAAAACAGGTGCCAGGCAGTTCGAGGTGCGCGAAAAGATGATACTGGACTGAGACCCTCAGCCTAACCCTTCCATAAATGCCCACCGTTTCCGCGCTTGCACCTTCGCTTGGAAGGGCTGGGAAACCACCGATGTTTTTTAACTACTAGTGGTAGGCTACAAGATCAGGCTGTGGCCGAAATTTACCACAAGCTGCCTCCGCTGTGCAGATCGACATAAATCAGCAGCGTGCCCATCTTACATGATTCTTTGTCTCCTCGATTCTTGTTCTCAAACCCCTTCGCCACAATGGGTGTCATCTCACGGATCAGCATACTATTACTGTTCATGTCATGGACGGGCCTGTGTTTGCCTACGGACGCCCTCTCAGACTCTGTTGTTGAACGGAGCACCTGCACGAGTAGTTGCAAGGTCGTGAGAAAAGAATGGTAAGCACACCTTCCTTTTCAAGAAGTACCATTTGATTCAAGAAGGATCTGGCGGTTCCAGCTACTCTGGTGCTGTCGACATGGAGGCGTCCGTCGTTCTGACAAAGTACTAGGGGTTCTCTGACCAAGGCGGAGCGAACATCATACATCAACGCTGTGCTGTGCCTGCAAAAGCGTCCCTCGATCATTCCAAAAGGGCTTGTTCCTGGTGCCAAGAGCAGATTTGACGACTTCGTGGCCACCCACATCAATCAGACTCTCTCGATCCATCTTGACGGCATCTTCCTTGCCTGGCATCGCGAATTCGTCTGGCTCTACGAGCAGGCCCTGCGGAACGAATGCGGATATACCGGGACCCAACCGTGAGTTTTCTTTTCCGCACGACGTCCCCAATATGTTTGCTATATCTGACCGTTCCAGATATTGGAACTGGGCTCTGTGGTGCAACTCTCTTTCCACCAGTCCCCTGTTTGATGGAAGCGCTACCTCACTCTCTGGCGATGGCGTTTTCGAACCAGACCAGGGACCGTACGTCGTTGGGGAGGGCGAAACTCTACCGCATGGTACGGGCGGAGGTTGCGCTCTCAGCGGACCCTTTCAGAATATGACAGTCAATATGGGGCCGTTCGACTTCAGCATCGTCTTCACAGGAGTTTTACCGTCAAACTGGACCGCATACAATCCTCACTGCCTCACACGCGATCTGAACAACTATATTTCCACCCGCTACGGAAACCAGACGGCAATTGATGTCCTTATGGCCAAGACAACAATAGCGGACTTTCAAAACACCATGTCGGGTGCGGACATCAATCTCGGCGTCCACGGTGGAGGACACTTTGCGTTGGGACCAACCTTGCTCGATTTCTTTGCTAGTCCTTCGGACCCCGCTTTCTATCTGCACCACGGTATGATAGACCGTGTCTGGACGCTTTGGCAAGCGGCGGATCCGGCAAACAGAGTGAATGCTCTGAGCGGTACCAGCACCATCTTCAACCAAAATACCACTCCGAACGTGACCTTGGACACAGTGGTCAATTGGGGGTATTTAGGGCCTCCGAAGACACTTAGACAGTTGGTCAGTGTTACGGCAGGGGACTTCTGCTACGGATACCAGTAGTGGGATCGGATTGGTGCATGCATTTTTATGATTTCCCATGTCATGTGTTAGCAGATTTGGAAGGGGCGTCGAATATTGAGCTTACCAAACCTTGGGCCGCAGAGCAAGAATGGCCGAGTCAGGGATCAGGTGATGGCTCAGATCCCATGATAAACACTCAAGTCCCAAAACGGAAGTCTCTTTTCCTTTCGGGACTAATCATCAAGTTCAGCAGCATTCGCGCACTGGTTGACCCGCATTCCCGAACGGGCCGAGTGTCGAGCGTTGGCGTCCTGTCCGACGGGATACTTTTTCACGTCCAAACCTTCAAAGTAACGCAGCGAGGCTGTCAGGAGCCTCTTCACGCTGCTCACTAGGAGCTGACTAGGGGAGCGATTCTTGGCATGGACGGAAGAAGCCCTCCAAAAGCGGCGGCACTGTCCGCCAAATTCGTGCAACCTGCGTTGAAACGTAGTTGTTGGCACTCCAAGCGTATCTTTCCTGTGGCTCCAAATCCTTCCACTTTCCCTCTCAACTTTTCTGCTTTGGACTGCCCCATGGAGCTATCGACTTCTTATACATATGATCCAGTTGAGTCTGACCAGTTTCGACTGTGTCGCTTTCATCAGAATGGAGATTCGCTGGCCGCAGAACTTAGGGTATTCCCGTTTGGCAAGGCACTCCCTGAGTACATCGCTCTCTCCTACATTTGGGATCTTTCTGCACCTGAGCCAAACAAAAATTGGACGATTCAGATCGAGGACCGACATCTCTCAGTCCTTGATTCTTTGAGGCCATTTTTCCAAGCGCTGAGATCCCAGAATTCTATACCGGACCAGGTATGGTGGTGGATCGACTCCGTCTGTATCGACCAAGCAAATATTCTCGAAAGGTCTGAACACGTACGGCGAATGAAACAAATCTATCAGTATGCCCACAGCACGGTAGTATGGCTAGGCGAGCAGTCGGAAGACAGCGACACCGCTTTGGACTTCATTGATGTTCTATATAAAATGGGCCAAGCCAGTGAAAGTGACGAAGATATGCGCATGTTCTTGAGAATGGAACATCACCATCCGAAGTGGATTGCGCTGAGAAATTTCTTCTGTCGGAAATGGTGGACAAGAGTTTGGACCGTACAGGAATTTGTTGTGTCAACAAGCCTTTCATTTTGGTGTGGGATACGAACAGTCAGCCAAACAACCGTTGCCGATGCTCTTTTGGTCGCCGATAGATGCAACACTACCGGATTCAAAGACACCAATGCATTTCACTTGGCTTGGAATCGAAGACGAACACTTCTGATATACGATATTGCGAAAAAGCCAGGAAAGGATCTGAATATATCTCTTCTGTCGCTGGCAGCCTACTTTTGTAGTAGTGACGCCTCTGATGACCGAGATCGAATATATGGTCTAAATGCTCTGTCGACGGAGAACCACGGTCTCATCATCATTGATTACTCTTGGGGTGTCGACAGAGTTTATATGGAATTTGCAAAATCCTTCATCGCACAAAACAGATCACCGGACATCATTTGTTTTGCGTCGTTGCTCTGCGCCATATCGGGCTCTTCATTGCTGTCTTGGGTTCCCCTCTGGCGACATCGAAGGGAGCCCTTCGTCGTTCCATTAATGGTCAGTCAAAGTTCGGATAATCACGTGGGAAATCTTCGACCTCCATCACCATAGGAATATGACGACAAGACCACCCGCTACTTAGCGTCTGGGGCCAAAGAGGCGGTATATGATTTCGAGGGCTCAACACTGATTGCTCGTGGCTCCATCATTGATGCCATCGATGGATTGGCTGGATCCAAGAACTTTGAACTTGTTCAAGGCTCGGATTCATACTCGGCGCAGAGAGCTACAACCTCTCTGACAAATATTCTTGCAAGCGTGTGTCGAAGCCTAGTTCTCGATCGAAGGGAGCGATATCTGCGATTCCCAATGCCCATGGAAGATTTCTACCACGACTTTATCCACCTTTGCTTGCTTCTGACTTCAGAATCGCCACGACAAGTGGAAATGGAGTTCCAGCATTGGTTCGAGCGCGTACGGTCCCTTCATATTCACGGCCACAGCTTCGAGAGCATCTTACGTGAAGCTCATCTAGCGGACCCGGGTTCCTTACTTCGCTCCACTCCGAATCAAGACGAGTATATTCAAGACTCTTTCTATGGTAGATTCTACGACAACATTGAAAGACTGGGCCTGCGTCTAATAACAACGCAGAACTGTCGTATCGGCATGGCTCCAGGTAAAGCGCGCAAGAGAGACCTGGTCTGCATTCTCTATGGGTGTAATATTCCTGTTTTATTGCGAAAGACTGAAAGTGAAGACAAGTTTACCATCGTGGGAGAGTGCTTTTTAGATGGATTCGTAAGCGGCGAGGCTTTGGGATTGAGAGACTTTCGGGAAAGCACATTTCGCATCGTGTAGTTGTACCCACCTCGACACTTTTACGAATGTAATGACATCCAACGGGATACCAATAGTGATCTGTACTCTCTGGGTACATTCTTCTGTAGTTTTCAATCCGGATGTCATCACCAGGCCAAATCCTCGCTGCCTTTGGAATGTCGAAATTCGAGAAGATAGTACGTATATGAGAGTGATCAGTTCGGCATGGGTAGATATTCTTTGACGATTACCCAACGGCTTAAGCAGCGGGTATCGACAGCTTTTCAAATGGTGTGGAATTGCATATCGGACAATTTCATCCATCCATAGCACTCAAATGATAAGAGACTGTAGTATACTTCCGCCTGCTCCATAATATGCTGCCGTGCGAGGGCAAGATAGATCTATTCGTTAAGCGCATTGTAAATTTGTTAAGCATACTGAAGGAGTTTCATTGAATGTTGGAGATAGGATTTGTGACAATTACGGCTTGAGAAGAAGCTTCCCACTCGTATGCCTTCCCTCCAGGTCCTGTATTTGCCATGACTGTTAGCTCTCGCTGGTGATCTCTCTAATGACGGACTCTCTTACCGATTGCGCCTTCGCTGCTTCTTCGAGAGGGTAGATCTTGTGAACTTTGACCTTGATCTTGTTAGGTTCCTCGAGCAAAGCGAACCAGTCTTTGCAGGTTTGCTCAAACTCCTCCCGAGTGCTGATGTAGTTGAACAGCGAGGGACGGACCAACTTGTTGTTCTTTGCGGATAGACGACTGCATGGTTGAAAGGGGTTACCGGGTCAGCAAATGTCGTCAGAATCGCAAGAGATGGCGAGCACGTTCGCGCATGGGAACAAGTTACTTACGAGATGGTAAGCGGTGGGATAGCGCCGCTGGCGTTTCCAAAGCTGATGAGTGTGCCCTTCCTCTTGGTCACCTCCAAACTGCCATCAAACGTATCCTTCCCAACCCCGTCGAAGACAGCCTCGCAAAGCTCCCCGTTTGTCGCATCCTTCACCTCCTTAACCCAGTCAACACCAGGCTTCCGGTAATCGATCACCACGTCTGCTCCAGCGTCTTTTGCCCACTTGCATTTTTCCTCGCCTCCCGCTGTTGCAACAATTCTCGCCCCAATCCTCTTCAGAACCTGGACAAGAATCAATCCAACACCACCCGCCGCTGCATGGACCAGCACCGTATCGCCCTTTTTAACCTTATACGCCTCCTCCACCAGTCCCATCACAGTCAAACCCTGCAGCATGCCTGCCACGGCATCCTCGTCCGATACACCATTTGGCACTTTGATCGCTTTGTCCTGCGCCACAACGGAATACTCTGCATACGCCGACGTACCCAACCATACCACGCGATCCCCAGCCTTTAACCCATGTTTCGTGGCTCCGGGGCCCACCGCTACAATCTCGCTCACGGCTTCACGCCCACCAATTTCGGGTTTCGGTGCTGGGTAGAGGCCAGTGCGGAAGTAGATATCAATGTAATTGACCCCAACGAGGTGGTTTCTGACGAGGAGTTCGTCTTCTTTGGGAGTCGGGACGGCTTGGTCCCTTGTGTACCTAAGAACTTCAGTGCCGCCAGTGCTTTCGGTCACGACGGCTCTCATAGTCTTCGGGACGGTGGAGGAGGAAGACATTGTTCCAAAGGAATATGAGGGTGCTTTGATGGTTGAAGAGCGAATGGGGGAGCTCGAAATCGAGAGCTGTCGAGTCTGTGTAGGGAATATAAACGTATTGGTCGAAGTAGCAGCAAAGGTGAATGTTGCCGAACGACGTGTGAGTGTCACAGGTCCACGCCGAGCAACTATCGAATTTGTCAGAGGACAGGTGGCGGCCGAGAAAGTGTGAAGAAGTCGAACTGGCGAAGCAGGAGCGAGAGGCTTCATTGTAAATGTCGCGTCACAGTGGCCTAATTATCGATGAGATGCCGGAAAAGGTTGATTGAGATAATGCCGGTTATCAGGCTGAATAACGTGCTGGTGCTATTCTTGGCGACTTGGAGGCCGCACTTATCATCCTCATGCACAGTTGAATCATTGAGCTTCCCGTGGTCCAAGGCGCTGGCCAAGTGACACTGACCTGACGACATTCTTCCCCCTGAAGCAGGGGGGAGTGAGCGGGAAAGCGGACCGCACTTGCCGCAGTCGTTTGGTGCGAGCAACCACAGCCTTGCGAGGCGGGGTGGAGGATTGTGGAGACAGACAGGGGTCGTCTGGGAGAGGCCAATCGGCGTCCAGACGGACTTCGCTCCCCCACGGATCGGTAAATGCTTCAAGGATTGCACTGGCACACAGAATGATGGTTCTGTGGCGAACATTCTTTTTAACCCGTCGGACGCCATAGAGGCCAAAGCGGAGAAGTTGCCTATGCCAATGTGCAGGTCTTTCTTTCATGGAATACTCGCGCCAATAACTACAAGAGGCCATTGTAGCTTTGAAATCAAAGAAACTGGATTAAAAACAAATTTAGTCACCTTTCTTGGAATCTTCCCTCTACCATGGGCCACCAGGTAGGAGTCAGCAACGATGTCGGCTTTGCCATCCTAGAAAAAAACAAATCATGATCACCAGGCCGTGTATCCGCCGTCGACAAGTAGATCAGCTCCAGTCA